GGGGGGGGGGGGGGGAACCATTATATCATATCATTAGATCATTGGTAATTCGTTTTACAGTATACTCGAACAATATGCAAATGTAATAATATTTAGGAAATTAAAAGAATTATTCCCCTGGCCTATCTATAACGAATGAGTCTTTAAACATCAGCGCAGGGGTACAATTTGTAATAGCTTTGCCCTCATCCTCTTGAGAAATGAAGTAGCTAATATCCTGTTCTTGCTGTTTTTGAAGGAAAAACAGCCTGCTATAGCCAAAGTCAATTAGTTATAACTTCGTTATATTGCTTTCTTCACCTCTCTGCTTCTATTCCCTTTTCAGCCACGCCCTTTTAAGAAAAATAAAAACTGAGCTCAACTGCTTTAACTCCTCCTCCTATTTCAGGGCAGTTTCCAGAGCGACACAGGCCTTTACGGCGGGAAAACCGGCGTCAAGCAAATTCTTACAGCTCCCTCTCAATCACATTCACGAATGACTCCAGGCGGACAGGTGAACAAATTATTCATAAAATCGAAAACTCGTCCACCAATAAGGTTTTTCTCTTTAGACATTTTTATGCCTGATGGGCTCAGTGATTAGCATAGCCATTTGCATTTGGCTAGCCGCTTTCAGTCGTGAACCCGGATGGAGGAGGGCTGTATTTGCGACAGGAGCCGCCTTGTGTGCTGTGATGTTCGCATTCCTCGCAGTTATGACAATTCGACGAGCAAAACAGTAAGCACTCTCAAACATCTCTTTTCATTGTATCTTGAGCGGTTCGAGCGCATAATAGTAACCACAGCGTTCCTGGATAAAATTACTGAGCATTTGTATCAAATTTCCTAACTTTGACTCGTTTTACATTGTCATTTGAGCTTTGAAATTTATGTGCAACTCATTCAACACATACTTGGAGTAGCTCATCCTCAGGCGATATTGGAGTCTCGTTTTTTTTTTTTGAGCTTTTTCTTGACTCTGCCTAAACTTCATCTTAAACGCGGAACAATGACGCATTGAGGAAAACAGCTGTCACAAGAAGAACATTTTTACGAAAAATTGATTGTGCTGGTTGACCAAAAGTCTTGGCGCTTAAAGCTTGGGAAAGCGCTTTAAGCTCAAAGAACTTCTTTGTCCTCATAAATGCACTACCCCATACAACGAAGTCTTTTATTTCAGTCCTCCCGAACCAGAAGCGTTACCCGATTTATCGCAACGTCGTTCAACGATTGGTGCTCGGGTCAGCAAGAAATCTATAGTGGCTGCGGGTCTTGGCGGTAGTGGAGGCGATGATTGTCCAACACAGGTGTGACATCCGGTGCTTTTCCTATCTCCTGCTGCTCCCTTTTTTCTTCTTCTTCCTCTCCCTCTCCTTCCAGATATTGATTGTTCTTCCCCTCTTAAACTGCTTTCAACCGACCGACACATCCTACCATGCTATGATGAGATGAATAGCTGCTTTTACTGAACTTCCTCTCCTCCTTTAACTGTGCTATTGTATGAAGAACATGCATAGAGCTTTACTGTTGCTTCTCCACTATCGCTACATTTCTGTACGAGCTAGTGGGACAGCATATCCTAGCAAGAATGAAAGAACATTCAAACCAGAGTAGATTCAAAATGACGCGTGACTGATGTCAGAAGGAGATGACTTAATGAAGGCTAAGCAGAACTTTAGAGAAAACCGTCATAAAGACATGTCATTTGCGGAAAAGAATTCAACCCTAAAAGACTTGTTTTTCCCCGACAAGCTCGCAATTGGCCATTAATAATAGGGATATAAAATGTCCTTTTCAAAGATTTAATTGTATCCCCACTTCATCCTGAGGTTTT